CTCGGGGCGCGCCCGGGATCCGAACCCGGGCCGCCAGCATCAGAGCGCGCGCACTCAACCGCCAAGCCACGGAGCCGGCCCAGCCTTCGCAGTCCTTAACTGCTTTTAATTTCGTTTCCAGGTCAATAACTTGATGTGGCCTCTTACTGGCAACATTAGCAGTGGATTTTGTAAGTTTAGGGGCCATGATGAACCAAACAACACAAGACTTAGCCAAGCACAAGAGAAAATAATGCAATCAAGAGATTTGCTAAACACGAGATGTATGAGGCTGCTGCCTTGTAACATGGCATGTTTTACAGTAAATTTTTTTATAAGTAGAAAGACTACACTCTAAAATAAGAATAAAAAGTATAATATAGTAAATATATAAACCAGTAACACAGTCGTTTATTAGCATTACTAAGTATTATGTACTGTATATAATTGTACATGCTATACTTTTATACGACTGGCAGTGGAGTAGGTCTGTTTACACCAGCATCACCACAAACACATGAGCAATGTGTTGCGCTACGATGTTACAATGGTTATGACATCACTAGGCGATAGGAATTTTTCAGCTCCATTATAATCTTATTTGACCACCGGCATGTATCTGGTCCACGGTTGACCAAAATGTCCTCACGTGGCGCATGACTAGTGAAAAACATTTGCACAAGGCAAGCAAGTCACTCAAAGCATTGAAAAACCTTCTGATTAGGAAAAGATGGTCAGGATTTTGTTAAAATAGAGACATACTATGTGCTAGTAGTTTTTCTCTTTCTGCTTGTGCCCAGGGATGGAGAAGCAGAGAAATTTGGGAGCGAATGGGCCAGCAGAAATTATAAGGATAGCCCCCTATTTGTTCTATCAGCCTAGAGATAGCACAGCATAAAGTAAAACATTTGTTTTAAAGTCAAGCATACAAAACTCACTCCTGCTACTTATTAGCTGTGTCCTTGGTTAAGTTTCTTACCATCTGAACCTCATTTTTATCACTTATGAGGATTATATGTGAGCCCTTATAAAGTATCTGGCACATAGTGGGCTCTTAATGAAACTAGTCCCTTACCCCGCCTTTTTCCTTCAGTGAGGTGAAAAGACCAACTGAGGTAATGAGAGACAGCAAATAATGAAACATGAAAAAAATCTCTTGCAAAGATTTTTTATGAACTCTGCACACATACATCTTAAAGAAGTCTGAGTAAAGGTATTTTATTTTGTTTTGTTTTAAAAAATGGGGTAAGCAGTGCCTCAATCCAGTAGGTTCTAAGTCTGAGTGATCAGTAAAGCCACCTGTGGAATTATTTTAAAATAGATTCCTTAGACCATTTTTCAATACTATATGGGAGACGTAGAAAGCTATTTTGGAAAAGGAAGTTTTTCTAGACCCTTAAAAACTTATGCCATATTAATAACAACTACTCTG